GAAGGCCACTTAAGCCTAAAAGTAGTAATCTGATAGTGAATTCTTACAAATTTTAAGAAATACATCTGCCTTTTTTTTCTGCCAAGATTTAGATAAGTGAGCTTCAGTGACTATTAAATAAAAAGATTAAGTATTTTACTTTTGAACAAAAACTGGAAACTGTCATGGTTATTGCATTGTTGTCCTCCTTTATAAAGAGAGTTTTCAGTTCAAGTTTAAACTGTGTTTTTGTTACGTTTTGAATTCATGTTTTAAGTTTGCTCTATGTCCCCTCTGTGTCCCTCGCTTGTGTCCCACTCTGCTCCTTTCTGTGTCCCACTCTGTGTATCACTCTCTGCATCCCTCTCTGTGTCTCTCTCCTGTGTTCCCCTCTTTGTCCCTCGCTGTGTTCATCTCTGTGTTCCTCTCTGTGTTCTCCTCTATGTTCCACCCTGTGTTTCTCCTATGTGCCTTGCTGTGTTCATCTCTGTGTTCCCCTCTATGTTCCACCCTGTGCTTCACCCCGTGTTCATCTCAGTGTTCCTCTGTTTCCTGTTTTCCCCCCTAGACTTCCTGCCCTCTTCAGGCTCACCTGTTTGTCCTGTGCCACCTGTCTCGAGTTAGTCATCAGTTCAGTGTGTATTTAAATCTTTGTGCTCCCACATGTTTTTGTTGGTTAGTCGTCGTATGCCCTGGTCATTCTCATGTGTCTTGTCACCTCTTGCCACATTCCCCTTAAGTGTTTCATGTATTTCCCTGTGCTACTCCCCTGTCTTGCCTGAGAGCACCTTTTGATACGTTCTGCCTTAAAATAAACACTTTTTGTTTCGAGAGATTTGAATCTGCATTTTGGTCCACCTGCTCTCTTTTCCTACTGCATCCCCCCACCTGACAGAAACAGTCCTACTAATTCAGTAATCTCTATAAAAAAGAGTCTTCATGTGAAAATGCTGAATCTGTCGGTGAGTGACAATAATTTGGATCTGGAAGCCTTTTGGTTTCCCCAAAAGAGGTGGAGAACATTGATTGAAATGCATTGGCTGTCATTTTTCAAATTTATCTGAATTCATATACAGATACCTTTTAATAAAGAACAAACAAAAAATATGACTTTTGTGTAGAGAAAAGTTTAACTTGTGTGATAAAGGAGGCAGTGTAGTCCTGGCTCAGAAATCCGCTGTCAACAACAACCCAAAATATTGGCTGTCGATTCCTGGTCAGATGAGAGCCAATCGGTTCCACGATTGCTTATTCATTGACATGTTATATTTAGTTTGTTTAATCCGTACAAAAAAGGAAGTTTAGTCACAACTAAGTGACTCTTGACATCACCATGACGTTGCCAAGGTTCTGCAGATAATCTCTCTTTGGACTGAGCTGCACTGACTGTTTCCCTCTGTTTCTAGTCTATATGCTAATTTAAGTTTAGGATTTGCATTTATCATAGAGCTGCAACTAATGACATTTTTCATTACTATGTTTATTTTTTGATTGAGTATTGATAAATTGTTTGAAAATACATCATGTTATTGCAATGAATCATTAAAACAAGTTTGATTGATTGTCAAAGCTTTATATTTTAT